TCTCTCTTTCTCTTTCTCTCTCTCTCTCTCTCTCTCTCTCTCTATCTCTCTCTCTCTCTCTTTATCTCTATCTCTCTAACTCACTCTCTTTCTATCTATCACTTTGACTGTCAGTCTGTCAAAAAAACCCGGGCGGTGCTACTGACTGAAGTGTCTTTAGGCCATTCCTAAAGGGGGGACATTACCATGTTCTGCTGCACAATAGAAATGCAAGTGGGCTGATTCATTAATGCCATGCTCGCAACTGTGACGGAATTGCAACATGGAACATCTGCTTTTTCGTTCCTCATCCTTACTATCGTCATTTTTGCTCTACTTCTTGTGTATGTTTGTTACTCTCTTGTCACCCGCTATTTCCGGGGTGCCTTCACAGTCGAAGCTGACTTCGTGCTGTTGAAGCTAGAGAGGTGAGTAAGAGTAAGCCCGATTCCCTGTAAGGACTTCTCTGTTGACATCCACCCCTTGGCGCCCATACGACCGTATGCAGTCGAGAGCGTTGAAAAACCTCTACTATAATTAAAAAACAAAACAAAAACAGTCTGTCAAATAAACGATTTCGATTTGTACTGGCATTAAGAAAGAACCGCCTAGACGATTTCTATAAACTTGTTATTTTGGAATGTTCTATGCTAGACTACAGACCACCTACGATTGTGGGGTAGCACTTAGGTGTTTCGCACTAAAACGCGGAAGACCTGTTGTCGATTTTCGTGTCTAAATATTATGTTTCTTATTCATTACCAAGTACGAGGTCTGTTCCAGAGGCAAGTTTCCAGGTTCAAAAACTCACTTTTCAAGTAAAAACTGGAATTTTACGTCACAGTATTTCTACAAGTGTAATATTCTCTATATCAATTGTTACATCACTAGGCAACTCGGAATTTGATATTATGGTGCTTTGTTTTCCTGAAGTCTTGTGGGTTTGCTTACGCCATGGCGACCGAAAAAAATGAAAGGCTCATTCTCAAAATATGATGTTGGTGTTGTCGTCAAATTCATGTTTTTGTTTGTTTATTCATTTGTTTGTTCGTTTATTTTTAGAGAGAAATCAGTGAAAGAATTACGTGAATATCTTCTATGGGCATTGGGTACTAATTACCTCAGTATCCAAACAGTAAGAAAATGGGTGAGAGATAAACGACATCCGTGTCAATCTTGACGATTAAGAGTGCTAAGGCCGGTCCATTCCTATTTCTGAGCAAACCATTTGCAGATTCAAGCCTCTGTCGAAGAAGACAGGCGAAAAACTGAGAAATACAGCAAAAGAAGTTGTTTTGCTAACGACGGTAGTAGGTGTTTGGATGGTGCTCTGGTGTGGTTTGCCCATTTTTTCCTGTCAAACATCATTCTGTCTTCCTTATCTCTCCTCCTTCTTGTTTATGTTTGTTACTCCCTTGTAACACCTCTAATCTTCGGCACTTATGTGACCTTATTGTGTTGCAAGTGCCGTAAAACTCTTACGAAAACGAAATAAAGACGGTAGTTCATAGAATTGTCAGGAAAGATAGGAAATAATGCTTTTTTTTCCCAAATGAGTTCTTCATTTGCTGACGGGTGAGCAACAAGAAGAGCGAGGGCGCTGTGCATGTGGTTTTGTCCATCGAGTAAGGAAAAAAGGGACATAATATCTTTTCAGAAGAATCTAGCATGTGAAGAAACACGGGTGTAATCGTGGGGTCCAGAATTAAAAATACAGTCAGCAGAATGGAGAAATCCAGGATCAAAACGACCCTAGAAAGCTTGAGCTAGGTGTTGTCTTCCATCGTGACAACGCGCCCTGCATACTGTTTGAAAGGTCACCGTTCTCATGAACTCTTGGCAGTGGGGAACTCTTGAACATCACTGATATTCTCCCCAGACTTAGCTCCACGTGACTTTCATTTCTTCCCCAATACCAAAGAAAGACTAAGTGGGTATCGATTTGAAGACGACGAAAAAATGATGTTCGACTGAGCTTAGTACTTTGTCCGAAGTGGATATGGTCACTGTGTTTCTTGGAAACTGGCTACTTCGAAGGAAAAAAGAGCATGAGATCAACGGTTGGAATGTTTGATATAAACCATGTAGAATGTAGATAGACCTATTTATACAAAATTTCATATCTATTAACAAATTGTTGATTTTACAGAAGAGGGAAACTTTCTTCTGGGAGTGAACTCGTATCTCGGTCTTT